GCAAAAACGACAAAAAGAAGGTTTGGAGCTTATTGCATCTGAAAACTTTGTGAGTGGGGCCGTCATGTGTGCGTTATCCTCGTCATTCCATAACAAGTATTCCACAGGCCTTGTAGGCGCTAGGTAAGTTATTTCGCATAGGATACTTTCAATAAACCTTGGAAACTTCACAGACATTTGAATTTATTCTAAGTCAATAATTATATCTAGTTTTAAAATATTTGCTTTTGTTGTATTGACATGTCAATATGCACCTTTCGAAAGGACTTGATTTGCCAAAGAGTTTTTTTCTGTTTAGCCGTTATTCTTGGATCCGTATGCACTTGCCAGATCGGAAGGCTGTCGCTTTGCTCTTTCTTGTTTTACGTCTTCGAACCTTAAACTAGTATATTATAAATATTTTGACGAACTGAAAAGTATTTTAGTGAAAGTGATCAGTACTACAATTCACTGCCCAGTCCCATCGTAGAAAAGGATAATACGCCAGTAATTATTACATTCAGTTCTGAAGCTCAATGTTTGTCAGTATTCCTGGCGCGCAGTTACCAGTCTGGGTGATGTGGCCGTGGAGGGGTAAGCTTCATCTGATATTAAGTCATCGTCAGCTCAGTTGATTGGACGCTTACCGAGTTTATGAACATCTGCGATTAGTGTCATGTGCTAAGGCTACCCGTTAGTCGTGCTCATGTCATTCTCTATGCGTTGCAGGTAACAGCAGGCGTGAGCGCAATTGAGGCGCAATAATTATGTTATTGAAATAGACACTTCAACCCATGTCGAATTCTAGTGATTTTAACTTTTCCGTCCAAGAAATTACGGCGGAACGCAGTATGTGGACGCAATGGAAAGCCTGTGTATAGAACGCGCGCTGAAGCTTTTCAGTCTATCGCCAGAGGATTGGGGCGTTAATGTCCAACCCTACAGTGGGTCGCCTGCCAACTTTGCCGTCTATACAGGTCTTGTTGGACCTCGTGGACGAATAATGGGATTGTCCCTCCCTGATGGAGGTCATCTTACCCACGGATACTCTGCAGCTGATGGAGAAAAGGTACATAAAGTTTTTATGCAATTTTCGCTAAAAGATAATTAGTCGGAATTTGTTTAAAACCAGTCTTTTAGCTTTCGTGCCAGCTTATACAATAAGCAATTCACAGCAAATATAACCGTTTCTCTGATAATTGCCCACGAATTTTGTTGGAAGCAAACTTGTCAGCTGAG